AAGAGTTCATGCTGGCGGGAGACGCATTTCTCGATCCGGATATGCTTGAAGACGTTCTCTCGGTGCTGCTCACATGTTAAATCGAGCAGCGAGTGACCCGGCTCCACTGTTGAATCGAGGTGCAAGCCGGGATTGGCGGTTTTGAACAACGTTAAGCGCTGTGACTTCTCTGCTTCTGGCAACTTCTGTTTGGCGGTATTGTCGGGATCCAAAATTGACTGCCGAAGTGCACTCAACTGAAGTGTCTGCGACTCAAACAGTAGACGCTTAAAAGCAGCAACATCTCCCAACGATAATCCTGGGAGGTTCAACTCTAGCCACTCCTTTAAAGAATCCTCAGCTAGCTCTTGTCCCGGAATACCGATGAGATGGGCTGTGGTTCCCAAAGTCTTGACGCCCAGGGCCTCGAGTTTGCCCACAGTGGACTGGCTCAAGTTGATCTCTTTGCACCGGCGCTGAAAATGAGCCTCTGAATCAAGGATGGCGGTCATGCTGGCAGAGTAAGACGTGGTTTCACAACAATGTTAGGTTATGGCGCTTCAGTAGAGCTCTTGCAAGTTGCGTGGTGCTTTTACGTGATTGTACAGTTGGTGTGGGGTTTGACACGTCAGCTCTGATTTGTGGGACACCAGACATCCTCCTACGCACAAGCCACAGGCATCGCGACCGGATTTTTACACATCAACTGCACTCAGCACTCAGCTCCGATTGTGTACATGGATGACTGTATCAACCCTCAGCAAGGAAATGACATGCAGACATGCAGTGAAGCAATGTTGAGCCTCAACTTTTCACTCCCTCGAGTTCATAGTCAGGTGTCAACCTGGAGGGCCCCTTGGCCAGCCCCTTGGCATGCCCCTTGGCATATTTCACCACGTGGTGCTACATCGCCGCTGCTGCAACCCTTCTGCAATTGCGACATATGCCCCAGCTTTCATTGCTGGTCCTTTGCTTTCGGAAGTTCTCCGACCCTAGCTTTCCGCAGCACAGGATTGCTCTGCCACTGCCTGAGTAAGATGCCACCTTATGCGCAATGTGTGACTTGCGGTGAATCAAAGACTCCTGCAACGACCATGGCAAGTCTGTGCCAGTGCGTTTTGCCGGTGGGTCCGCCGCAGCATCACTTCCAGATGATGACGAGTCCTCCGAGCTACTGCTTGAAGTATCTTCATCCGAGATGGTAACCGCAGTGGCCTCCCCACGCTGTCCATCTGAGTCTACTCCAGCCTCATCTTTCACAGGTGCCGGCCTGGCTGTGTCATCAGTTGCAGAGGCTTTGCTGGGGAAGTAATCTGCATTGATCCTGTCCGGTTGAAAGGATCCATCTGAGATCTTGTGAAGCAAGTTGGCAAACGACCGAACTGCCGGCGTGGAAATGTCCACTGAGTAGACCGCAGCCGTCCCTGACGTGGAGGCAATATGTCTGCCTAAGATGTTCTTGACCTCCTCTGACAGGCCTCCCTTAGCCGCCCAGGAAAGCGGAGTCCTTTTGAGACTGTGGGATGAAATCCGTGCCAGCCTCGAGGCATCAGCTATGCCCCCTAGCACTGATCTCAAGAAGGCGGTGATTTCCGCCGACCTGACCTCGCGCGCAGATAATTCCTTTGAGTCTGCTGACGCAGGTGCTCTCAGCAAAGGCCCATCAATGTCGCCGCGCACTTGCATTCCAACGGATTCCAACGCCCTCAGAGCGGTTTCTACCCACATTTCTCCCCTGACATCAAAGATTGGTATCACTACTGGCAGGAGGAGGCGAGACCTTGATGTGGCTCGAGACGTCTTGTGGATTCCGAGGTGCAAGACAAGAAA